TGTTTCTCGGAGGTTCAGGAGTTGGTCCACTCATGCGCATAAAAGGCATCATCAACGCCGAAAAGTATGTGGATATTTTGGAAATATATATATTGCCTTGTGTTAGCAAAAATTTTCCTAACGGATGGACTTTTCAACGAGATCGCGACCCCAAACACACAGCCCAACGGATCAAAACTTGGTTCATCGAATCGCGTGTCCGTTCTTCAATGGCCTGCTCCAGAGTCCCGATGCAAATCCTATTGAAAATGCATGGAATTGCCGGAAGAAACAATGCCCAGGACATAAAGCAGAAAATTCTGATGATTTGTACCGGAAATTACAAGAGAAATTGGGCAAAAAATGATGCAGGAGTTATCAAAAAGCTTATTGAATTAATGCCTCAGCGAAGTTGAAGCTATTATTATTGATGCCCAAGGTCAAAATACAATTTATGATTCTTTCTCGATTTTGATTATATTTATACTTTCTTTATTGAATAAAATATCCATAGAGCTCAAAAAACTTTACAGCATTAGCAACGGGGGTCATTACTTTTGAGCGACCTTGAGTGCTTCTTTTTTATGTCATGTTTTGAAAGCATTCCAAATGAGCTGAAACCAAAGAAATATTATGCATGTTTATGAAAAATCCCCATTTTGTTTTGAGGCAATTACTCTGTTGCATTTGTTTTATATGATAAACACAAGAAAAGTTTGAGGGGGTCATTACCTTTGAGCGGCACTGTATAATAGAAAACAAGTAGCTAGCGATGTTCCCACAGAAAACAAGTATTTCTGCTCATGGAATGATGAGCTTTAAGCGATGGAACGATGAGCTTTAAGCGATGGAACGATGAGCTTTAAGCACGATGGAACGATGAGCTTTAAGCTTGATGGAACGATGAGCTTTAAGCTCATCGTTCGTGCCTCAATCTTAAGTCAGTCAAAAAGCAAATAGAATCTTGTAAATGCAAATAGAATTTCAAGAAATATAAATGAGACAAAAACAAATGTAACGTAATTTGTTATACTAAAAACAATTTTTGTAACTTTCTATTTTTTGTCGTTCTAGAGACATAAAGAGGTTTGCGATGGAGGTCATTTTCGTGACTTTTGGATACCTTGACTACACTTTTTGAGGAGTTTCAAACTAACTATTCTCTCGTCTGAAACATTTTTTTGTCGTAAGAATTTTTATTTTATTTAAACATTGCACAATCTAGATCAATACATGAATGTAACCATTGAAATCATCAGAAGTTCTCGTTGTCGATCTTCGGTTCAATTTCTTGGATGAAAATTTGCAACCGAAATCGGAGAATCCGTGAGTCACTTTGTTGGAGTTGATTTCGTTTTTTAAAAGGTTTTCTATCCAGTAAGGACAAAGTTCAAAGTGAATTTAAACTTGCTATAACTATAGTTAGAATCTCCAAGACTTCCATTTCAGAATAACGATCAAAGCAGGCGCAAAGTCCATGAATTTTTCTTATTCGAAGTCATCGGCATACAGGTGCATTCTTTTTATTTCCTAACATATTTGCGACAGAGCTTCTTTATCGTTGTTCTTTTCATCTTACTTTAAAAGTTCTCAGGCGTTCGATTTACTTTAAGTCCGGAACGATCCCCCCCCCGAGAATCTCGATCGCCAATGATTTGGCTGATCCGCTGTTTAGTATAAATCCCGATTTCAACTCTCTCCAATTCAATGTGGAAATCCGTTCATCCCAAATGCAGAGACCGCTGACGCGGAGTGTATAATCAACCAACTATCAAAAGCAAGAACGATCAGTGGAAAAATGGTAGAGAGAATCTTTACAAAAGAGATAAAAATTGCGTGTAGATATCAAAAAGGAAAACACCTCAACATCAACTTCCGTAACACTCCGGGACGAAAGTTTTCCGAAAGAGTATTGAAGATATTTTTCAATCAAAAGAAATTGCAATTTTGTTTTAGTACAAAGTGTATCATTTTTCCAAAGAAAGCACAAATCTGTGTTGTGCCCGTGGACGGAGTGTCCAACCTGCTGCCCCTCCAGAAGAGAGAAAAATTTGGTAATTTGGTATTTGGACTTTTTGCATCGACGAATTTTCAGGTACTATATTCTCGCTGGCGCTCTGGGACTCGTGGCCATTTCTCTTCTCATCACTTTCATTTCGGTGTATTTCTGTTGTCCGAGATATTGGTCGATCAGATATTTGTTTGTTTTGTTCAAATGCCCATGTTGAAATGCTTTTATAGAATCGACACTCGAGGACAGGCGACATCTACGCAACCACCTCAGAACAACTCAGGTTTCGATGAAAAAGTAAGCAAATGCGCAAGTTATATTTTTTTAGATTCTGGAAAGAACATTAGAAATACTTTAGTGACGGCTGGGAGGTGGATATCTTCTCGATTGAGATCTCCGAGAAGAAGCTCGGCTCGGGAGCTTTTGCTGTGGTGCATAAGGACCTCAAGGAGTTACCTGGTTCGGCCATTGAATCGGCTCCGATTTAAGGTGAGAGGAAAAACAGATTCATTGTGGTAGTAATTTATTATTTCGTTTAGTCAACACTTCCCGAGAAGTGGACGCCTTCTGAAGTGGCCATCGAGATGTGTCATACGAAAGCGAATAATGGAAGCCAAGTAATGAGTTCGGAAGTTATCACTGATCGTTGTCTTTCAGGGAGGAGATGCTGAAAGAGATTGATTTTATGATGTCCGTGACGGTGAGTGATTCCATCTTTTCATTTGCCCATTTAATTCAAAGGATCAGCCCATTTATTGATCTTTTTGGGCTGTTCGAGGAATCCGAAAATCCGGTATTGATCACGGAACTGTGTGTGAGAAGGGAGAACTCTTGACGCTTCTCCGAAATCCAAGAACAATTTTTTGAGGTATTTTTGGGAGGGAAGAAGAGTTGGAGGCCCCAAGCCACTTCAGAGTCGTCTTCGTGATGTCGATCCGACGCCAATTGCGTGGCAAATCCGGTGATGCCCTGGTGGGTGTTTTGGCTATTCAACAGCAATGCTTTTCTAGCTGTTCCTCGCCTCAAAGCGAATCAATTCATCAGGATGTTACGGCCCGAAATGTTCTATATTGACAGCGGAGGATGGCTAAACTTGCGGGTACAATAATGAAAAAGGAAGTATTAAGTGTCGAATTCTCTTTTCAGATTTTGGTCTATGTCGTAAAAGTGAGCAATTGTTTACACATCGAAGAATTGGACTGTTACCGATTAAATGGATGGCTCCCGAATCGATTAACTCTTTCGAATTCTCTGGAAATCCGATGTGTAAGTGGGGAGTAATAAGACCTACAAAAGAAGACTACAGTACTAACTTTAAGAGGATGAAATTCGACTCTGGATTCGGAGTCGAACTCTAGTTCAAACACGGAAATGTTTGATTGTCTAAAGCCGACTCTAGTTCGCTATTTCAAGCATCCCTTTCCAGCTGGTCATTCGGTGTTTTCCTCTTCGAATTGTACACTTTCAGGAGTTCCCCCGTTTGTTTCGGTGTCAAACAAGGAAATGTTGGATTGTCTAAAAGGCAGGAATCGTCTGGGATTCCCTAACGAAACTGACGAAGTGATGTGAGTGGAGATGGGAAGTAGGAAGAACCTCTTGTAGGTTGCCTACAAGAACCCAACCCATCAAATCATTTCCAGAAAACAACTGGCATCATCTTGTTGGTCATTCGCGTCAGATGATCCGGCCAAATTTCGAGGAAATCTCTTCCAAATTTGTACAAAACCCTCGAAGAAGAGCAGAAAAACAAGGGATATTACACGGAGTTCTTGAAGAATCTGCACGCAAAACATAAACGATCATCGACAAAATCCACAGTTGATCCATTTTTGAAACGTGTTGTGACTTTTGTGGAGAGCTTTGTTTTTTAGTTTTTTCATTGTTTGGATGTTTGTGAGGTCTTGCTTTGCTTTTCGCTTGCTTTGCGGTCTTGCTTTGCTTTGCTTTTCGTATAAACTCTCTATAAACTTAGAATTAGTCCCAATACTACAAACAAACGATCCAAAAAATCTTCTTTTCATTACATTTACAGTGCATTGCTAGTCCATAGCTGCAGGGTGTAGTGTTTATCGATGTGGTGATTGGGATCCCTCTTGAAGAACTAACAAATTATCCTATCCCTCACCACTGCTTTCAAGTCAATTTCTCGTTATTTTCCCCCATCCCAGATCCTTTTCAACTTCATCCCCCCCCCTCGTTTCCTTCAACGAGAAGAGTGATGCTCTGAATGAATTTTTACAAAAAAATGTGAATGCAAAAGCAAAAGCTGAAAGCTGTGCTGAAATGCAAAAGCTTAAATTTGTGACAAATTTTTAGAGTGTCGAGTCGTTTTCCATGTATGACAAATGAAGGAGCACTTGGGCTCAATTTGAGGATCGGATTCTCAACAGTAGAGACGATTGCGAGAAAATTGAAGAAAAAGAGTAATCCGTTGATTTTTTTGCCCATATAGGGACTCCTTTTGACTCCGTGTTTTTATCGCAATACGATGCACACACTGAGCAATATGTGTGGAAAGTTGAAGGCTTTGATGTTAGAGAACTAACTGTGCAAGTTGCGGAAAACAACCAGTTGTTTGTGGGTCCTCCGAAGATTTTGTGTGCACATTTAGCTTGTGTTGTAGCTGTAGCACATTTAGCTATAGCACATTTAGCTGTAGAACTCTAACGTGCTTCGGCTGCTAGGTGCTTGAGCCGGAACTTGATCTTGTTGAGATTGTTCAACCCTCGATCTGGTATCAGAACGGGAATGACTTTATGGCCTAATCATTTCATTAACAAATAAATCTTTCGATCAACTTCAACTACACTGGGCATTACAAAAAAGAAAAGTGCGTAAAATTCCGTTTTTTTCGTCGATATTTGACGCGAGCAAAGTTTTGTGATAAGAAAAGTCCTTTTTTGAAGGGCGATACGCCAACATTAGTTTCGTTTAGCCAACCTTTTTGAACCTTCAGTAGTATTTGGAAATGAAATGAAGCGTTGAAGTTGAGTGATCTATTTTGAGAGCCATGCTGCTTCATTGGATTCTGTTTTTCAATTTTCTATCTATCGTGACTTTGGTCAAAAATGCGATGATCCAATTGGTTCCCGATGCTCCCTCTTTTGCCATACATGGGAAACGGATTAGTAATTTGGAAGTTTGTGATTTAGGCTTTGAAACTCATTGCTTTTGCCAACGTCCTCAGTTTGTTACTGATTATTGCCTGGCGTACACCTGACAGGTACACAGCGTACACCACAACAGTACACAAGCATTACACACAACAATTTTACAGCGTACACCAACCAATTGCCGCACAACATTCCACACAACAGTACACACAGCGTCCACACAACAAGTACACCTGGCTTGTCCACCAACCAGTCCACACAGCGTACACACAACAGTACACACAACGTACACACAACGTACACACAACAGTACCACAACGTTCTCCAGCTTTTGTTGAAATGAGACTTCGTTCAGAGCATCACCCTTCAAGTGAACGAAAAATCGGATATTCTCATTGACTACACGCAGAATGGCTGCTCTAATCTGGTGCTCTCTTTGATATTGACAGAGTAACGAAGCGCGGTATTTGTTTTTAGGAGAAAGGCTACTGCTCTGATGCGCCCCAAGTCACTATCAATGGAGTGGGCTGGGAGAAATGCGGTGATGTCGAAGAAATGTATCGAAGCTATACTTCAAAACAGTTTCCTTCCTAAATCTAGACCCTTCTCCGACAAGAATGACCAACTTGGAGGCTATTTCTATCGTTCCTCCTCACAAATGATCGATCAGACAGAGCTAGTGATTGCGATGACCGATGCGCTTCCAAAAAACGACGACTTTGCCATTTCATTCCGAGTCCGTCAATGGGTTAACGGTCTGATTTAGAAAGGAAACTGTTTTCCCCCCCCCCCCCCCCCCCCCCCCTTTTTTTTTTGAAAATCACATCAATATCTCAAACAATCATTTACAGTATCAAAGAAAATTTTCGTTTTTCCTGGAATACCTTCGAATAATCAATTTAATGGTGATGGCTATTTTAAAGTTTTTGTGAATGAAGGTGTCATCGCCACCGTTCTTCCAAATCCCGATAACTACAACTACGGGTTTGCGGTCAAATTGTAGGAATATATGAGATTATTTTATAGTGCTTGGGATGGTGGTCCAGTGACGGTTCAATCGGCAGTGAAGTCAGTGACGAAATGCCCATATTTTTGGGTGAATTTCTTTATAAAGCATTCATCTGAATATTTCCAGCAAAATATCACTTGCCCAGCCGAAACCACTTACTCGATTTTTAGTGGATCCGATCCCGGGAATAAAATGGATTCAACCAATTTGTTGTTGAAAGCTGAGTATGTTGCTGTTATAGTTTCGTTTCTTTATAGTTCTTATTTAGTTCCTTTATAGTTCCTACTTGGTTCCTTTATGGTTCTGATTTAGTTCCTTTAGTGTTCCTTGGTCGTTCCTATATAGTTCCTTTATAGTTCCTATATAGTTCCTTTCTAGCTCTTATTCAGTTCCTTTATAGTTCCTATTGAGTTCCTTTATAGTGGTTGTTGTTGTTGTTGTTGTTGTTGTTGTTGTTGTTGTTGTTGTTGTTGTTGTTGTTCAACAGTTGTTCAAGAACAAACCAATTTGTTGTTGAAAGCTGAGTATGTTGCTGCTATAGTTTCGTTTAAGATAGAAACAAAAAAAGAGATTGAAATAACTAAAAATTGCTGATTGTTTGCGTTCTAAAAACTTACTGAACTTCATCGATGTTTTAGCGGAGACATTTTGGTGACAACAAGAACGACGGCTTCAACGATATTCACAAATGATGCTTGCTCTTTTTGTTTACTCTATGATTCTCGATCACCTGGTTGGCTCAAAGAACGATTTATAAAATATATATTATTGCGAAAGATAGGATTGATTTGATGTATAATATTTCTTATATTTACAGGCAAATGCTCAACATTGCTAATTTAACGCCAATTTCCATGAGGCTACCTAAGGATGGTCTCCTGTACCCCCATCTTCTTTAAGTTTTGAGTAAAACCTCTGGAATGAAGAGCTATTTGGGGCCCAGTTAGCTGACTTCATAATGGGGTTTAAGGAGACTCCCGCAGCAGCTTTACTCCCGTCTCGCGGCAGCTTTACTCCCGTCTCGCAGCAGCTTTACTCCCGTCTCGCAGCAGCTTTACTTTGTGACCAAGTGTGTCGAGTGGGCCGAATGCCTTATCTTTCTTACAATTGCTTAAGAATAAGAATTCTTTTAGCAGCCAACGGTCTCCTTTGATGTTTCTAGAAGCGTGGTTGTCATCCCCATCGTGGATTGCACCTTCCCGATCATCAAATCTTTTTTTAGGGTTCGATCCAACACCGGCGCGAGGGCAACTGGGTTATCGAGAAGTCCCTTCAAGTCGTTCATGCGCCATCTATTTCCCTTTGCGAGCTACTCGTAAAAAGCTTTGTCGCGCTTTCATGCAGCAGGCAACTTGGACATTCCGTTTGGATTTCTACTTTGGCCGCCATCGGAATGTTTTGCTCATCATTGTAGACCTTCGGGATCCTGTAATTGATGATGCCCTCCTTGTCTCTTTAGCTTCTCGAGCTTGATCGGCTCCTCGAGTGTCGTGATGACGAACGGCGTGACAGAGCGAGTTCATTGTCGAGGAAATGATCCGCGCTCTTCGGATCCCTTGGATTCTTCGTCGTCTTCTCGGCGACGACTCTCCCCAGCAGGCACAACAGGCGGTGTTGAACATACCTGGAAATAAAAAGGTTATTTCTTTCAAACAAAGGTCCCGAGGAGAGTGCGAGGAACGCAAACAAAAAGAAACTTTTAATGGGTCTTTGGTCTTTGGGTGACACCCGGGACAGCCCAGAAACATGGGGAAACATGAGCCCCCCCCCAACCCTGAGCGCGTGGTGCACACAGCAAACTTGTTGGGGGAAAGCCTGGGCGGCTAGTGCGCAACCAAACTTGTTGGGGAAACCTTACCCGTCCATTTCGCCCGCGAAGACAGGCTGTAAGAAAAAATCAGAGAAGTGGCACTTTCGCCGCAGCACATACAAACACTTGACGCGCTAAGGGTACAGTAACAGAAGTCACGGTTTAACTTTCGTCCCGCCCATGTAGGTTGAAAAGAGGTTGACGCTTTTTCAGAAAAATAAGCAATTGTTGGAAGGTAGCTATCTTTGCTTGTGTAATATAATGTCAACTATGCGCAAGGTCAATATTTTAACTTTTTAACAGTTTAGCTGAATGCTTGGATGGCTTTTCCCTTTGGACTCCCCTATTTTTACCCGTGGATTCATGATCGTTTTGAGCAGATTGAGGATGGAAAGAATAAACCGGAGCAATGTCTTCGCGGCCACGTTAGTACTTACGGTCTGATGCTTTTGGTTAAGGCAACAAACAAACTTATTTTAGAAGTTGATTGGCCGTAGCCCGACCATGGATGTGAAAAAAAGTTGAAAATGGTATCATCGAGATTAAAGAAATCAAATGCAATAACATTGAATGCAATTCTATCAACGTGATCGACTGGAGAAAGTTTCTACTGGAGAGAAAGATAACAGAAAACGTTTTTTAGCTTTTCTGGGTCATCAAATAGAAGCTTTACGAATTGTTTTTCATCTTTGGAATTAAATTTGAAATATTGTTTATAAGGTACGGTACTGGACAATGAAACCTATGATATTTGAAAGCGATCGTCACTTTCACGCGTCTGTAACTCCCTTGTCTTTGAGTTTAAACTATTATTGTATGCATTTTCTCACAAGCTCTTTTTCATTGACTACACAATGGTAATATTAATATTTAGAAATACGGTAAAAGAAAAGGGAGTTACAGACGCGCGAAAGTGACGATCTTTTTCGAATTATGATATTTCATTGCCCAGTTGTATTTATGTTTATTGTCCATTTTAATACCTCAGCCTTGTGACCTTCCCTTCTTCCGTTTCCAGAAACGTTCTTGATGACTATGATGTTTGAAGTTGAAAACAAAGAACAAAGGTTTTCCGATTTCCTTTCCCTGCAACTAATGCAAAATTGAACGGAGCGTTCAGTCGAGTCGATGTCGCAATTTAGCGAAACAAACCCTAAAGCGAGAACAAGTCTTACAAAAAGCATTTTTTTCAGGCATTACGGTGGGTAAGAAATAGAGTGTCGTACAGTACCGGACAATGAAAATATTATATTTAAAACGATCGTCACTTTCACGTACGTCTGTAACTCCTTTTGTCTTTGAGTTTAAACTATTATTGTAATACATTTTCTGAAAGCTCTTTTCAACGGCTACACAATGGTAATATTAATATTTAGAAATACGGTAAAGGAAAGGGAGTTACAGACGCGCGAAAGTGACGATCTTTTTTCAAATATCATATTTCATTGTCCAGTAGTGTAAATCTGAAATATTGTTTATATGGTAAATCTGAAATACGGTTTTATAAGTATTCAGTTAAAATGGTGTGAATGTAACAGAAGAAAATGAACCGTTCGGCTATATTCTGCACTTGTGGGAAGAACAGCACGTTGAGGACAAAACATCGACGACATTTCGGACGGACGGAGACACTACGGACGAGAATCCGAGATCTACAACAATTGCAAAAGAAGTGCGACTACTTGAACTCAGTGATGAGACTACAGGAACCGCTCAAACTGCTTCAGATTTAAGCTACTACTGTACATCGACAACCTCGACAACCTCGACAACGACCTCGCCAACAATAACTGAAATAATACGAACAGTTGAATCTACAACAGACAAGGAGACAACCAGTTACATAGAGAAACTCACAACGGGTAAGCAAAACGGTCATTTTGTCCATTTAGCGTTCATTTAGAGTGTTCATTTAGCCACCGATCCCGGATTAAGCTTAATATTCTTGTTCTTCGTTGGACTCGGCGTCTTTTTTGTTATTTTGTTGCTCAGTGTGTGCATCGTCTTGATTTTGGGAATAAAATCCGGGTTTCTTTTTCTTCAAGATCTATAGGCAATAATAAATTTTTTTAGCTTCTTTACCAGACTTCTTGTTCCTCTCGCTTCGGACAACATCGAAAAACTTCGAGCGGATTTGAATAAGGTTTTTGCTTTTTAAAAACATCAACAAAATAAATTCAGGCTTATAAGCGAAAGAACGGTGTTGAAGGAATCAACGGCGTTGAAGGAATCAACGGCGTTGAAGGAATCAACGGCGTTGAAGGAATCAACGGTGTTGAAGGAATCAACGGTGTTGAAGGAATCAACGGTGTTGAAGGAATCAACGGTGTTGAAGGAATCAACGGTGAATTTGAAAAACCGGTGGGGAACTTGATCTTTGTAAAGAAATACTAGTTGTTTAGGTGGTCAAAGGAGTGACCGATGAGAGGTATTCACACAGTCAACCCAACCCAACAACAACCGGAGTGTTATGATTGAGACTAGAGTGTGTTCCTTGCAGACAAGGCGTCTTCTAAAAAGCGCGCGCCAAGGATAAGCTACTGTAACCCTATGCTTTGCATCAGCAAATTTTTCAACATGCATATGTCCATTAAAATCTTGCGCTCTTTTTTTCTATTACCCTTTCCTCAACTCTATTACCCTTTCCTCAACTCTATTACTCTTTCCATAACTCTATTACCCTTTCCTTAACTCTATTACTCTTTCCTTAACTCTACTACCCTTTCCTCAACTCTATTACTCTTTCCTTAACTCTATTACTCTTTCCTTAACTCTACTACCCTTTCCTCAACTCTATTACTCTTTCGCTAAAACTTAAAAATTTTAAAATGCTATTTAAAATTAAAGAAATCATTTAAAACGGGAAAAGTTAAGAAGCACTATTAAAAAATGATATTATTTACCGTTTTTACCAGGCCTATTGTCTACATTTGCACTAGAGCCATTCCCAAAAAAATTTCCCGCCCTCCAAACCGAATCCTTTAAATAAAACTATCCATTACTATATTTTAAGAAAAGTTAGCTAATTTTTATGCCTTTATGGCTTTGCTCCAGCCCCTAGCTAGCTCTTTGCTTTCTTCTTAACTTTGCCTATTAGCTTTGCTTTGCTATTAACTTTGCTTCCCAAGCCGCATCCCTTTCTAAGAAAACCGCGTTGTTCGGAGGTTTGTCGGATCAATTGTCTGACAACAAGGAGCACACTCTAATTGAGACTGTTGTAAAATTCATTCTACGTGATGTTTGAGAAACTTTTTATATGTCGTAGCCGATTATGAATGAAATTTTTTGGCAAATCTTTCTAGTAGAGCAACCCTTTAAATGTATGAGGACAATATTATATCATCTTGAATTCAATTCTGCGTCGATTGGTACCAAATTTGTGAGGTTTAGGTTAAAATTGCCGGCGCCACAACGTTTCTCATTCAAAATCGGCGGGACCCCCGTAGCCGATTGAATGAGTCCACGTCTACGTCTAGAGTCCAGGTCTGGGTCTGGGAGTCTGGCTCCGGGTCTGGAGTCTGGAGTCTAGGTCCAGGTCTGGGAGTCTGAGTCCAGGTCTGGAGTCTGGGTCTGGAGGTCCAGGTCTGGAATGCAGAACCGGAATTGGGAATGCAGAGTGCGGAATTCGGGTGCGGAGTGCGGAATGGGGTGGAGTGCGGAATTCGGGTGCGGAATGGGAATTGCGGAGTGCAGGTGGAATTAAAGGTGCGGAATGGAATTGGAATTGGAGTGCGGAATGCAGGTGGAGTGCAGGTGCGGAGTGCGGAGTTTAAGATGGAATTGGAGTGCAGGTGCAGAGTGCAGGTGGAGTCCGGGTGGAATGCAGAGGTTTGGAGTCACGGAATTAAGGTGGAAGTGCAGGTGCAGGATTTGAATGATGCCCGTCAGAAGTAGTGAGAATGGAATCTTCCTTGAGAATCAAACAACAATTTTGTAGAATTTTTCGGGTGAAAGATTGGATGAAAGAAAAAAATTAGAGAGCAAAAAAACTATTTGTTCAAGAAGAAAACTTTGAAGCCCATAATTTTTCCTGCTCCTGCTCCTACTCAGCACATGGGGTTCTCTGCTTCTTAGAGTTGCGAAGTGTTTTGTGTACGATATTTGTACATGACTTTCATTGACTGACTTGTACTTTCATTGATTAATAAATCTTCCAATCACCCTACATCTTGTGTGGATATGAGAGAATTGAGCAACGTGGCTCTTGCCCTAAAATTTCTGACCGTCACTCTTCATTTCTTCCAATTTTTCATTTTGTCCATTTTTGACGATATTAATAAGGTTTTTGTGATAAAAATGAATACAAAAAGCAGGATTCTATGTGGGCGAAAAATCAACGG